CAACATCACATCTCACTACACAGAAATTTATTGATTCGAAAGCATTCGAGGGAATGCTTTAAAAATCCTTGAAGTGAACAGCAAATGCGGCTCATCTAAATTTCTCCATTATTTCCCCACCCGAAAACACTTTGATAAACGCTTTTGTCCCTGAGATTTTCATGGCACTTAATTGCTCATCTCGAGAGAGAGAAAACGCGTCGCGGCTAAGAGTTTATCTCCTAAAGACTCTTCTTATTTGATAATTGAGGAAGCAATTATGATTTCTAGCGCTACTTCTTCGCTAGAGACACAAGACTTTGCCTGAGAAGTGCGCGGCTTTTCGAAGAGGGATTATCGTGAGAGATGAAAAAAGTCAATGTTTAATTCATACCATCATTAGTTTGAGTATGACGAGATGTGATGCAAAGTAGCGTTAAAATAGTCAGAAAAATATTGCTTTCGGAGAATGTTTTTTCATCGATGAGATTTGAAAAGAACACAATATATTTTCACTGTGGCTGTAAAATGGTAAAATGCTGCAAATATTTGTATAATATCATTGAGTGAATTAATTAACTTCACTTGTGCGAGTTTTTGCTATACGTTTTTGCCTGCATTCCAACATCAGAAGGAGATTAAAGCAAAAGAATAATATTCTTCTATTATGAAACAGACACATCAATTTCATTTCATTTGCATTTATGCAATACAAACAATCTTGAATGCGGAATAAGACAATTAATATTAATTTCTGCAAGTTTATTAACAATTGTTGTGGCATTTTTCCTTTCGCCCAGAGAGGTTTTTTTTCACTTTTTCCCGCGTGCATTCGACAAATTCTTCCTGAGGCCGCGCAGTGAGAGAGACATTAATTGGATTTTGTGGCAGACGAAGGCATTTTTCTGCCCATCCAGTATTTTCTTTTCTTCTCTCCCACGTTTCTCGATATTATTTTTTATACTTTTGAGTAGGTCACGGTTAGTTGGAACTTATTTTACATTCATTGTTTGATAATGATGATCAACAACCACAGAGAGAATCTCGCAGTTTTTCACTCCAAACTATTATGTGAAAATGATTCACAGCACAGAAGTTCTCATAGTTTTTCACCCCTTTTTCACATCTGTCTTTTCACTCTTTTGCCTTTTTGCCTTGTCTTTGACCAAAGATTCGCGACGGTCATTGAAATTGTTGACAATTTTAATTTTTCGCAGTTTGTTTCTTCACAAATTGTCTCTCCTTCTTCACCATCGTTGGACACATATCAACACAGAGTGTACAATTCTGTTCGCTTTGGCCACATTTTCTCTGTTTAATTTCCACGGCAGTTCATTCAACTGAAAGACCCCAAAAAGTCTCGATTTTACTTCGTGTCTCAGCATTTTTCAGAAGAATGATGTATTATAGCAAAAAGAGTCTCTCAATTTACACTTTGAGTGTTGCTGTGGAAAAGAAACACGCGGTAGCGATCAAGCAAATGATCCAATTTTTTTTTCGGCGCTGACGAACAGCAAGAGAAGTTTCAAAAATTCCCAACTTATGTTTCATGCCACATTTTAATATCATATATTTATTTATTGGTCCTATATTTGAGCAAATATAGGTGGTCATTTTACGGCTTTTTGCTCTGCATTGTCATTTTATGTGTAATAAAACAGCACTGAAAATAATTGCCGTGCTAAATGTGAAGGAGAAGTTGTTCTTTAACATATTACAAAAGTTCCCAGTGTTCTGTCGTGTCAGATATAAAGCGCTTTACTTAAGCACATAATAATCTCTTTATAAACGAAGATTATTGAAGCATTGTTTTTTTTTACAATAAGTTATCAACAAAGTGTTTCATCAATCATCCGGTATTTACTTATTGAATACGGAAAATTTTGTAAATAGATACTTTACTATCAAGTATTTATAGTGTTTTTAGAGGTCAGACGATCGAGATAAGTTTATCATTGATGAAAATACAAGACAAGAGATAGCATTGTACTATTTTAAGAAGTCTTCTAAAAGGTTTCCATCAACAGACAATCTCATCGGCGTTCCAAGAAATACACAAAACTTTATTTAGTCTGGAAAATACTTGGGAAAATGGCAGTCAATTTAATTTAGAGACGAACTCCCTAGCGTTTTATGTAACTTTACTGCCCTTCCGGCAAACATTTCCTCTAATACGAGTTTCTTCGATTAATAAAAGTTTATTTCCCGTGCTTCAGTTCTCGCATGTTGAAATGTCACACCATGAGGTACTTGCCATTTAAGTCGTTACCAGCGTCTATAATTGAGAAATTACAGACGCAACGCTGCTGATGAAACCTTTCTCGTGAGACGGAGCGAAAGGACTTCGTCTCTGTGGTTATTTTTTCTCCATAAATTATAAGGCGACCGACACAAGTGAGGGTCAGAAGTGAGCTAGCTTTTGAAGATTGCATCCCACGCTGGCTGGGTTGCTATAGAGACGATTTTCACGTTTTGAAATTTTCATCATATTTGCTGGGGTTGGGCGGAACGTGTCAGATAAATCCCCGAGGGTTAGTCCAGGAAAAGCACTAGCATTTGAGTCAGAAAATTGTTACCTTTCGAGCCTTTTTCTTTTCACATCTTTTTTTTTGCCTGTGTTCAGTGGAATTACAGTCAAATCTCACACGAAATCATTGCGAGAGACAGAGAAAAAAAAAGACAGTGAATTTCCTAGAGAAGCGTGAAAGAGGATGAAAATATCGATTAAAGAGAATGAGAGAGCGCAAAAGGACATATCAAGGGATGGAAAATCATTGTGGGGTTTTCCCCTCAACCACTGCAGTCTGAAATTGTGGCAAGAGCAGCATTTTATTGATTTTCCAAGGACCAAACTGAGCACGAGGGATGCTCTATGGGGTAGTCCGAAAAAAGAAGACTAAGGAGGGTGAAATATTGTCAGGTACATGACATCACTGCGGAGTTTATTAATAAATGCACACGAGACAAGAACAGGAAGGAAATGCTATCACATTTTTTCGCCTTCCACACTCTTCCTTTCAAACCAGACTCTGTGCGATGATCAGAAGTGTCAATTAAACAGGTTTTCCATTGAATTAAAGCGTAGCTTTGAGCATAGAAATAGGCTGTATAGAAAGAGATTCTTGCGAAAATGTATTTTCATCCTAATGATGATTAATGAGATAAAATTTCACAAGTATTCAATAGACTCTTGTCACACCTTAAGGCTGAAGAGTTTCACAAATATTTTGTTTTCCTCAAGGTTTTATTAATAACACAGATTCTTTGTTCCTTCTCATTCGTTGATCATGAGATTACAGTGATTGTGTAATGAGGAATTTATTTTTAATTAGCTCATCTTTTGGATGTCGTGTTATTGTTTTCCATCAATCTGCGTGAGTTTTATTTGCAAAATGAGAATATTAATGGACACAGTAAGTGTGTCTGAGCATGAATGACTTTAATTTATCCGTCAACAACAATTCTCACCACCAATAATGATACCGTAAGAAGTGTTATTAAGTACACTATAATAGTGTACGCAGACTTTTAGGCAAGACAAATGCTTCTCTCTCGCGAAGTGCGTAGTCTTGGCCTCACTTTAATCCGCCTGGTGTGTGCTTTTGTGTTATTATTGAGCATTGGTGGCAATCAAAAAATTTCCGTTACAAAAGCACCCGAAAAGCGCGAGAGAGAGAGAAAAAGAGGACCACGATGGAGATGAAAGAAGTGAATTTATGTTGACTCCACGGAGTGATCTTACGTAACAACCCTGTCTTTTTTGTGTGTTAAATGGACATGAAGAAATCTCTCTTCGCTGCGATCTCTTTTGCACTGGTTCACATTTACATATATGTAGACTTTTCTCTCCCTGGAAATTTATGCGACACACAGAGAAGAAATGGAATTAAAATTTACACACTTTGCTTTGGCAACAAAACATATAGAGTAATCCAGAATTGGCATGCACAGACAAATTATCTTTCTATTCATGGAAGGGAATTATTATTCCTCCATAATGACCCAATTTGCCATGCTGATGAATGTGGAACGAATGAAAAATCACAATTTGTCTTGGACTTCCATGAGGGAGTGCCACAAAAATTCCAGTGAAGCAAACACACACGCGGAGTCACTGTCTTTCTCTTCGGGCTGAATTTTAAATAGTCTTTTCATATCACAATCCAAATACCATCGTTATTAGAGCTGGTTATCTATTGCCACATAGTTAAACATCACTTTGGAGTGATCAAATTGCTGTTCTTTTCCCGCGCATTCGAGCCATTCGAGCAGTCCTGAGAGGCAAAATTTTAGCACGTTTCGAGAGTGTGTCGTCATTCTTTGAATTAAAGCTTTCCTGGCAAATTACACTCCAAGAGACCCACACTTATAGGCTGGGTGTTTACATGCCTAAAGAGCTCCAATGTTTGACCTTCAGGTGTTAGTTTAGTGTGAAAATTCAAAGTCATTTTCATGCACACGCATTTTATCACACTGATAAAATTTCACCCAAAAAGTGGTGATAAGAATCTGGGAGAGTCTTGCAAAATAAGAGACACACATTTTTCTTTTGTACAAATAACTTAATTTGTGTCACAGTTTTTTTTTGGTTGTACAAAAGAAAAATTCTTAGAAAGAATCATCGCGATGACTGTTTTGAAGGCAAGGTTAGTGTTCGAGTAATGAACACACAATACAGCATTAAAAGTCACGGAGGGAGGGACAAAGTAGAAGCTCAATAGAGTGTGTATTCTCAAGAATTAAATATATATACAGCAATTGTATTTGACTGTCTTAAGTGATTGCTGCACACAATGATAATTAGCTTGAATTACATCTCAATATTACTTATTGTGACTCAAGACATTACGTCGATTTTTCACACGATACCGGTTTCTCCGTGCCTTTTGCACAACTCCTATATATATATTTGAATATTTCTTCAACTTTTCATATGGAAAATATGACTAAAACACAAGCATATTTTTAAGCTATCGTCGTACGTTTAATTAATTATAATTTCTCTCATATGTCTTTCACAGAAATCGAAGGACAATCAACAGTGGCAAGAAACCTCCCTTGGGGTCCTCTATATTGTGTTCTTCAACAGGATGAGCAAACATTCACGGCGTATTGCAGCGAAGAGCTCTCGGTAAATCATTCATTCTTCCACATCAACAGACTAACTATTTTTACTAACAAAAATCTCCAGCCAGAAAAAAAACACTGACTAAAGTACGAAATTGTCTGTTTCTTAACAAAAACACGCTGCCCAATGTACAATTCAAAAGATATTCCCGGTTACACCAAATCGTGAAAAGAAGGTAAATGTGAGTGTGTGTCTCGACTTTACATCGATTTCTGCTCATGCTTTCCCGGGTTAGGCGAATTCCACCGCTTACCAAACTCCATAGAGAGAAGCTTGTTTGAGGAGCTTTGTCGTTGGTCTCTTAACTTAAGAGACACGCAAGACTGTTTCACCAAAGTAGAGATAAATCTTGAAAGTGTGAATGTCCACAGATTTAATTTAAACATTTAAATACCTCCCACATATTTAATAGAAATGTGTTTAGGTTTTGATGCCAAAAAGTGCGCTGTTGCTTGTTTTAAAACACAAAGAACGCGTGTTCAATGAGAAAATTCCAAACTGTACTCCATATCTTTGAGTATGAGAATCGAAGACATTGCGCTAGAGCAACAGATGGAAAATTCATCGGCGATGAAAGAATAACAAGGCATTTTTAACTAAAAATAAAATGAACATTGTGTTCGGGGATTTTTTGCACGTGCTTTTGTGGGGGGGGGAAAATGTGAAAGACATTTTTCTAAACATCACGCTGACGTCCAATTTCCCGTGTAGAAATTTTCCATTGGGTAAATTCTTGCACTTATGATGTAGGATATGTTTATTTTTTCTAAATATCTGTTCAATCTCCACCTATTTTTACTAACCCTCTTTCTATTGTTAGTTCGAGTGTTGTAATTCGCCTGAATTTTCCATGCTCTATATTTGATGCTGTACAATGTCCAGAAACTCAGTAAATCTTTATCTCTATATAGCTGACTGATAGCATATTTGCGGAGCTTCCACGTGTTCGGTTGGATCACCAGAAGCGGTCAACTTGCAAGAGTCAATGGCAGGGACCTCCCACAGTAGAAGAGGAGCCAGAGGATGGCGTGGGAGATATCAACTTCTGTGGCCAGATGATCGACTTGAACACCACACTGGATGGAAATTTAGGTGAGTTCAAGAGCAAGAAAGAGAGTGGAAATAAAAAAAAACGTGATAGATAACAACTCAATATACGAAAGTATCAGATTTGACTACATACTTTTGCATTGTATTGAATTTTATTTAATTTTCGTGTTTGCCTTTCGTCTAAAAATACCCCAAAATGCATACAAATAGAATAGCATATTTGAATAATTGATGGATTATAGTGGATTGCGACAGTGCATTCTAATCGTTCATCTACCGTTGGTGAGATACCACATTGTTGCCTTCACACCAACTCTGGAAAAATTTTCCACACTTTGGCTGTGAGTGTGTGAGTGATCTGGAAAAAACGCTGAATTGCCGCCAGAACGGTGTGAGTGCAGTGGAGTGAGTGTGAGGGGGAGTCGTGGGAGGTTTGGTGGGGTATGTTCAGTTTGATTCTGACGCATCGTCAGAAGCATGGAAGTGTATATAATGCTAATTTGATATGGAGAGAGAGATGTATGGAAAAAAATGCCGAGCGCAGAAGTGAGACGGACAACAGCTCTTTCCCTCACACTCACGATGTAATTTTCTTTCTCGTGTCAGCGAAAATAAGCAGATCGCGCGCGCCAATGTTTCAGTCGATGTCAGTTAGTCGCGTATTCAAGACCGTTTTTCCAATCCGAAGAAGAAGAAGTGCCTTTTTACACGAAAACGCAACAGAATCACTGTTTCTGTTATCTTTTTTTTTTCTCGCTGAAGAGAGTGAATAAATAGTAGAAATTACACCTATTTCATTGCTTCTTGCGGTGAAATTTACATATTTTACTGCGGTGATTATTATTTGACTTTGTGTCAAGCAACGGTGATCGAGAGGTTCAATTTGTGTATTTGCAAGACATTCTTCTTGCTCAGGAAAAAAAAAAGTCTCGCACACTTTGCAGTGCTCGTGAAAATATTTCGTCGTCAATTAAATATGATATAGAAGAGTGTGCCAATGAGCAAAACTGCAAAAAGAGTTGTCTTTTGATGATTTTGATCATAACCAATTGATCTTGAGTGTGCGATCACAAGTGATCTTCATGGTGATCTTTCTCAATTGAAATGAAGAAATTATTTGTCAAGCTGCCGCCGCCCTAAATACAAATTCAACGGGCTCATTGTGAACACAGATGAAGAGGCGACATATTTATTCAATATCGAGAGAATTCCAAAGCGAAGAGAAAAAAAGAATACTCAACTGTCTACTTGCGAGATTTACCCAATCAATTCCACGGGGAAATCAAACATGAGTCACAGAAACTCAAACTTCCTACACGTTATCAAAAAATTAGCTCTTAATGACTGCTCACTTTTTTTTTTCTTCTCGTAACGTCTCAAGTAGACAAAGACGATTGTCGCTCCTAACCTTGACATATTGGATAAATTCAGAGACATTGAATTTCTTTGAGATAGTTTGAGAAGAAGAAAATTTCCCTCTTCACTCTGGGCGCTCAGCGGCGAGACAAATGGTTGGCTCAATTAAAAATAAACGCGACGATTGAAGAAAGTATTTTTAGTTTTGAAGCCATGAAAATTTACACCAAAACATTTTCCTTCCTTCAATTCTTCTTCATTTTCACAATCTTCTCCCTCTCGATCATCCACCAATTGTCTCTTATATCACATTTCAAACCATCCGACAGTGAAATATTTTTTGTTCATTGTACAAATATGCGAATGTATGAAGCCAAAAAAGAAATATTTACAAAAGTATGAATAAGAAAAAATACTTTTATTCGTGGAATTAATGAGGAAATTGCTGGTGTGTCTGAAATATAGCACGTTCGAGAGAGAAATATTTAGACAATAACTGAAGAAATAATTTCGCTGGAGTGATATTTTTTCGTGTGTGTGCAAAACGGAACTCATTGAACCAAAAATCGATCCTCTCTCTATACGCAAATGTATAGAACTGTGTGATTCGATTTGAAATCAAAGATTCCAGTGTGTGAACTGAATATCATGAATATCAGGGAGAGTTGCCCCAAAGTGTTTTGCAGACATTCTCACTGCGAGAAATATTGAGTTGTGCACAGTGAAGTGTATCTCTAGTGTGGTTTTGTGACAATATGAACACTTGAGGAATCACATAAGTTGCTATATTATTCACCAAGTCAGATTTGATCTGGAGAGATCAAATAACAGTTTATCAGTTTAAAACAAATTGAGGAACAGACGCAAGAAAGAAAAAAAAAGAAGATGAATTGTGCTACACAAATGCATGAGCCAGAGGATCAACGTGATCATGTTGTCGAGAAGGAAAAAGATCGAAGAACTTCTCACCGACTGACGTCATGTTTACGAGGGGAACGTGACGAGGCAGACGGTAAATGGCTTTCTTGATTTGTCGTATTCACATAAATATATATCTTCCGGTTCCGTGTCTTGATATTTGTCGAAAATCAGGGAGGATCGTTATAAATTCTCCAATGCACTCACTCGTGATATCACTTTTTTCCTCATGTTAGGCATTTTTCCCATTCGCACACGAGTTCACCAGGTATTGGAGAAGTATAGCTGGGAGATTGCAAAAGATGGTAAAAATTCACTGAAATGTAGAGCAAAACCGTTTGAAACTTCTTGCAAACAGGAAACCAAGTGTTGATTTCCATTAGACGAGGCACCATTTAATAAATTAAAAATTCAAAATGCTATTCAGAAGCAACAAATCTGTGTAGGAGAGCCTGATGGGCATGCGTGTGTGTGTGTGTGTGAGCAAGTGGGAAAAATTGCAAAATTCTACGGCATAAATGAATTGGCAGAGTTGTGTGTGGAAAAGCGCAAGAATGGCCGAGGAACGGAAAAAAGAGAGATCGTGGTGGAGAAAAAAGAGAAAAATCCAAAATACAATCTCCTCACAGTCTATATGTTGGTCAATTGATGGTTAAATTGAGGAGATGAAATTCTTATTAGAGTGTGTTTTCACGGTTCCAATTCAATGAAAGTAAAATCAGGTGTGTACGCTGTAAAAATTCACCCAAGGCGGAGTGAGAAATGAAAGAAAATCTCTATATAAACAAAATGGAAAGAGTTTCTCTCAATATTTTCGCACCAATTTTCCATTTCTTCTACGCGCATTTTTTTTTGCATAATTTTTCCTCATCTCCACCTCTGCGCCTCCGTGCATTGTGGTCATGTACAACACAAAGATTACATCTCAATCAGGGGGAGAGTGAATTTAATGAAGAGTAACAAATGATACAAATTTCTATATCATGAAAACATGTGGGTGTCTTATAGGTCACAAGTGTTTATCCATCTAATTTAGCCTTCTCACAAGTCAAGAAAATTGTTGAATGCTATGAGAAAAGCCTTCAGACTAATTCCATTTTGGTGTCTTGTATTAAGATCAGACACACTGGCTCAGAGGGAGGAATTCGTGGTGTGTCTTTACGATCCACCTACTCGATGGTGTGCATTTTATGAGAGACAATCACAAGACCAATTTCAATTTCTCTCTTCTCTCCTTCTCTCTTCGGCTTAAATGTCTCCTCTAAACCACGCATTCAAATATTACATCCAAGTGCTTAATATGGCTGAGGAATGGAGAATAAAGCAATCTAGTAATTCTTTTGTCCAATTAATTATTTCACCATAATAGTAATGAATTTTATTATAAATCTAATCCAGAAACCTTGAAAACCATGTGAAGATAAATTTTATGACCTTCATCCAGTTTCTTCTGCTAGAAAAAAAAGAATTCAGGCACAACAGCAGAAAACTGGAGATAAATTTATACATAACTGAGTTACAAATAAGATCACTGAATTTTTTTCAAATTTTTCTACCTGAAATAATACACGAAAAATAGATAAATCAACAACCAAAAATTGGGTGAATAACTGTATCACGCAAAAATATTGTCGTAATTTTTGATTAAGTCGCTTCATGTACAGTAACGGAAATGGGAATGAAATTCCTCTTTAAATGTCCAATAAACAGAAAAGAGTGTAAAAGTTTTTACTTCAAATACAAAATAGACAATAGGTTAATGGAGACAATTATATTCCTATCTTAATTATATTTCGCTATCGCGTCTCTTCTTTAATTGTCATTTATCCTTCTAAGAATTAGGAAGGTTAAATAGTTACACATGAAGTATAAATACATTGTCAATCAGAAAAGAATTAGAGAAATTCATTTAAATTCACGTACATTTCCAATATGCATAAATATTTTACACTGACTTGTAACCTAAAAGATATTATTCAACATTTAAAATACTTCAAAATACATTAAAATTTTTATTCAAAAATATTTGTAAAACTATACAGAATTGAAGAGATACTTAAGCACTTATAAAATTGAGTAAATTGTAGTGAATAGTATAAAAAAAATTACACAACCAATAAAATTAATTTTGTGCGTGAAATTCTCAGCAAGAATTGGACAACACTTGATAAATTCAAAACATTTTCAATTATACGAAAACGGTATGAAATAAATCAATCCAATGTTTCATTGGAGCACAAATATTGTTAAAAACATCAATCTTTATTACAAAAGTTATAGGAACAGAGTTCACAAGTCGCATCCTTGTAGACAATTGAGCCGTGATCAAAGGATTTATCCTGCTTCACTCGAATGTCACACTCTTCATCCGTTGAACATCTTCTCATTGCGATCTTTTCACCATTATTTTCTCCTTTAATTGTCGCACAGCGAAGACGAAGTGTGCTGAAATCTCTGAAAACACTGACACAATCTTCAAATTGACCATTTTCGGGATGATCAATGCATTCGGCATCTTCAGTAGAATCGCATCTGTAGCACTTCAGAGTATCACCTTAGAATGCAGAATAGTTAAAATTATATCTCTCCTTTTACACTAAATTAATTAGTGTTTAAAAATACCCATTTGATAGAATAATGCAGACACGGAAAAAATAAATATTGCCGTTGCTATTAAATATTTCTTATCACAAAACATTTTCACCACTTAATTGATCTTCTTGAGGAGAGAAAAGACGAAGGATGAGTAATTGAAGAACAATCGGCAC